CACAGATAGCCCATTGTGTAGCTTTGTGTTTAATTCCAAACAAACAAACATCACGTTTCAAGTCATGCGTTTGTGTCCCTGCTTAGTCAATATACTCAGCATCTTTAACAAAGTAACACAAGAAATTATATATGAACATCAGTTTTACACACCAAACAGCCACGACTACTAATCTAAGTTTGTGATTCATACTGATCTTGATTTGTTTTTGTTGCCAAAAGTAACAGTATATGCGAAGATTTGTAACATGCTTTACTAATTCTTTAAAAATCGCCCCCCCAGTGGCACAGCGGTATGTCTGCGGACTTATAACGATAGAATCCGGGTTTCTATACCCGTGGTGGGCACAGCACAGATAGCCCTTTTTTGTAGCTTTGTGCTTAATTACAAACAAACAAACAAACCTTTAAAAATCACCATTGTGGATTGAATTTATATCTTAATCAAACTGTTTCATTCCCTAAACTTCCTACAAATATATCATGACATTTTCTGATATTTTTTTATTGTTAGATAATAAGCAATGTTTTGTCGACTATCTTATAAATGTATACATTCTATTATCTGGGTCTGTTTATTTTTAAACAGTAAACATATCAAGCACGTACGTGTAGAAACTCACATAAAAGTTTTAGTTTTGATTTACGATTCGTTCAAAATTATCCTGTCGGTAGTTCTGTAAAAACAGATAAATAAATGGACAGATAGATGAAATTAAGGAATCTCAAGGTACAAATCGCATAAATGGTTTATTTTAATCCGAAGCACACGTGATTTTCCAAGCATGTTTTAAATATAATACTCAGACAGTAATTTGATCTAGCGTGCTGATCATTAAGTCTGAAGTGGGTTTGACAGTGACAAATGTTTAGAAATGTTACGTAACACATACAGGGTACAATGTGCAGTTTTAAAACGCCCAGTTCCGAAAAATAAAATATATGTATATTAGTTGTTAAAGATAGATGATTATCAATGTGAACTAAAAAAAAATCTGTAATTTCGTTAATATATTAGGCTAATTTATTTTCGAAATATATCGTCGTTAGGCATACATATATATCAAATTTTAAAAAGGGAAATTTTAGACCTA